GATGTGGTAGACATTTATGCCAAGTTATTTCAAAATCCCTTATGTATGACAATGTTACCGTCCTGACAGAATGAAGTGGGACGGACGGTGCGATTATATTATGCCTCCCTTCGGGAAAAAAATGATGAAAACAAATTAATCCATACTGCAAATGTACATAATATATGTACTTCGTGACACATAATATATGTACTTCGTGACAACAAACGAACTTTAAATGATAATGATTTATTTCTGAAAATACATAACAATTTTTTTCTACATTAAAACTGTAAACAACAAAAGTTTGAAGAGCAAATCAATAATTATATCTCTGTAAATTACATAAATAAGCAAAACTAAATGTCACAAACGTAACATTATATGAGCTGGAAACCAGCATCAAAAACAGCATTATTCCATTGGTCCATCTTATCATATGATCAGAATCAACCAATCAGCAGTCTTGTATTAAAAGTAAGTTCCAAAGTTCCTAAACAATGCTTCAGATCTAGAGCAAAAAAAGAAATATTAAAAAAAATCTTTTATTGTTTTTGCTTCAAATTAAACAATTATAACCATTACACCAACCATTAAACAAATACATGTTAAATTTTACCTCAATAAAGATATCATTTATAAAATTTGTTAAACTTAACATCATCAAAAAGTGATACCCAGGTGACAGCGTTATCAAGTATGCATGGACCTAGCACTGTGGAGAATGTCAAGAAAAAAAGGCATTCAACAAGGAAGAATTCTGTTTTGCATTTGCCTTACTAATTTAGCCTTGGAGGATTTTTTATTGCTTTAGTTACCAAATTAGCCATAGATGATACTTTATTGCTGTAGGGTTAACAAATTAGATGATACTTTATTGCTCTAGAGTTACAAAATTAGCCATGGAGGATACTTTATTGCTTTAGAGTTAACAAGCTAGCCACTTCATTTCTCTAGAGTTACCCAATTACCATTAGCCATGGAGGAATCTTCATTGCTTTACAGTTACCAAATTAGCCATGGAACATTCTGTATTGCTCTAGAATTACCAAATTAGTCAAGGAGGATACTTAATTGTTCAAGAGTTACCAAATAAGCCATTGAGGATACTTTATTGTTCTGGAGTTACCAAATTAGCCATGGAGGATACTTTGTTGCTCTAGAATTATCAAATTAGCCAGGGAGGATACTTTATTGCTCTAGAATTATCAAATTAGCCATGGAGGATACTTTATTGCTCTAGAAGTATCATATTAGCCATGGAGGATACTTTGTTGCTCTAGAATTATCAAATTAGCCAGGGAGGATACTTTATTGCTCTAGAGTTTCCAAATTAGCCATGGAGGATACTTTATTGCTCTAGAATTATCATATTAGCCAGGGAGGATTCTTTATTGCTCTAGAATTATCATATTAGCCAGGGAGGATTCTTTATTGCTCTAGAATTATCAAATTAGCCATGGAGGATACTTTATTGCTCTAGAATTATCATATTAGCCAGGGAGGATTCTTTATTGCTCTAGAATTATCAAATTAGCCATGGAGGATACTTTATTGCTCTAGAATTACCAAATTTGCCATGGATTTTTATTGCTCTATCAACTGACTGTGTAAATGAGATAACCAAGAAATTTAAAACATATAAACTTTTCATATGCTAAAAGTAAAGTGTTTTGCTACTAATGGATGATGGAAATTCAGAAATAAAATGTATAGACATAATTTATAAATACTAACTTCTACGCTACTAGTAACTACTGTGAAATCATTTGTATTCGTGGGCATGAAATTTCGTGGTTTTACCAAAACAGGCATTTTCGTGGGTTCTTAAATTCGTGGATTTTCATTTTCTTGTAAAAAAAAAATAAGTAATGGAAAGTAATCTTTCACTTAATCACCGCGCTGTTTTACTTACCCCGTGTATATAACACAGCTCTTGTCAATAAATTTAATCCTGGCCTCTGGCAGTAACACAATTACTGCCGATAATTGACTGCAATTAACACCTTTGTGTGACATGATATGCAGCTCCATTATATGCCCCTATAATTCGCCAATGTAAACATCGCATAAATTATACGACATCTGCCAATTTTTAACCAGCCAGTAAAAAAGTTAACACCCCGAATTAGTCCAAAACTACACACTACATCACATCGACTGTGTAAATTTATATGCATATAAATTAATACCAGTAAATGGCTCAATACAGTTACATACATGTATGTGTGCATCTAGTGTAAAGGCGACGGCTTCTTTGATATTTTCGGAATAGCAGTCACACAAAAACATATTGAAAAAAATATATTTAAATGGATCATATAAACACTAGTCGTTAAAAGTTTTATCGGGGATAATTAATGCACTTGGTTCCCATATTTACTCGATTATGTCACGTATTCTGGCTAACACAATCAAGTAGCCTACAACGATCAAGTAGTCCCCTGATGTTTACATGCGACGAACATTTGTGACAGCAAACTGAAGACATACAATCGATTTTTCTTTCAAGTGTCTTAAATATTGCAAAATTAAACTATTTATGGATTTAATTTGTCACTGACCTGATTAGAATATACATTCATACCACAAATATCGGCCGGAAAAGCGCCGACGCATGTTGAGATATATGGAACAGAGACATGGTAAGAAGCGTTTGTTGGGATAAAATTTCGTCGGGTCTTAAATTCGTGGATTGACCTATCCACGAAAACCACGAAAATTCGTGCCCCACGAATAATGATGATTTCACAGTATATTGTTCTTAAAATATAGAATAATAACTAGATAATAAATACTTTCCTTTTTGTAAATATCAAATAATAGGCTTTTCAATATATGTAATATTTTGGATATTACATATACTGAAACATGTAATTGTTCATTGTTAAAGAGTCTTTTTATTTCACAGTTAAAGGGACTCAGGAAATTTTTTTAACATGACGGGATTTGAAACAATTTTTTTTTTTGAGATTTTTTTTAAGATTTTCAAAATTTATGGGTTTTTTATTTTATCTTTTGTTACTTAAAGGAACTTGGTTAAGGGGGCTCTTATTAAAAATGTAAAATCTTTTCTCTCTTGACTTTTTGTAATATGAAATCATCTTGTCACCCCCCAAAAAAGATTTCACATTACATGCTCTATCTGTAAGTGAAAATTAAATACATCAACTTTAAAAAGGAAAGTTTTTGTACAAAGAACTTCAGAACAGTTTTTTTTTACAATGATTTATGAATTCAAACCATGATCAAATGGTGTTAAACAAACTCATAAAGGCCGGCTATTAAATCATAAAAAAAATTCTTTGTAATATTTATTACATCTGTTTGTTTGATTTAAAACCCTGATTTCAAACTGTAAAATAATCGTAGTTAAAGACCTTTTTAAGTATACTTGAAACACGTAAATGAATTTATTAACACATTTCATGTAAGAAAAAAAAAGTGGTCTTCAAACCAAAATAACACTTAGCGAATCAGTCGTAAATTTATAAAATTTATAATTCACTAAAATTAGTAGACAACAGATAAACTATCTGGACGGATTAAACTTGTAAACATGACAAATAAAAACTTAAATAAAGAATATACAATAACAAAAATACAAAAAAAAACATTTAAAAAAAAAACTTGCAACTTTTTAAAAAAATGTTGCAAAAGAATACTGGGACTTTGCAATGTTACAGCACAAAAATAGTGGATCAGTCTCAATCAACAATGTATAAATTCATGTATATACAATGCATTACTTCGCCATGTCACATATGGAATGTTTTACTACAAATGACTAAGTATCTCCAAATTAGGTCAAAGGTTATAGAACAGTAAATGGAGCTCAATCATTGGTCAATTTTGAATGTACTATTTAAATTAACCAATCGTATTATCAAAATTCTAATTTCATAGATATTGTAAATTTATATATATATATATTTTTTTAATTCAAAATCAGTAATTAGAGAATTTGAAACAAAATAATTATATCTTTTTTACACAAATCCTTTTAAATTAATTCCTATATCTTCTGGAACTGAAAGTGATTTGTTTTTGCCACCTATCTAATATTCTATATGATTCTGTGGAGTTAAAAAAAAGACCCGATAACATAAAAATGTATTATTTCAATAACTCTTGATATGATGTAACACAATGCATTTCTTGTCAAATATTTTCATACCAATACATAACAGATCTTACTAAAATGATGCCCTTCAAAAAAAAGTTTCATAAAAAAGAAACATACATTGTACATAGACTTTAGCATTACAAATAATAAATATAAAATGCACATAGTTTTCTACAAAAAAAAATCATACACTTGTTTTAATTGGCCGACACACTAAATTATTAAACAAAAACAACAAAATTATTCAAAGAAGAGTTCAAAATTGATATCACAGACAAATGTGTTCAATAAAATAGTGCATGGCAACATAAATGTCAATAAATAGAGATATAAAACCACAAATGTATATTGTAGTTATAAGCAGTTGCCTCTTAATATAATATATCAATTAAAAAGTTAATAATATATATTTACAATTATTCAATAACAAATATCACAGATACTTTAGATCATTAGGGCTTCAAAACGCAATTTTTAAAACCAGTCTTAAAATGCAGCCTCCCAATTGGACAATTCAAATTTTTGAATCTGTATCAGCCAATCAGAAGTCCCATGCTCTTTTAGACTGGTTTTCAAAAAGCAAACTTTTATACTTTTATCAAATGTGGATCCAAACTAAGTACCACTGCCTGGGTAAACTCAAAATAGATGAATGAATAAAAAAGTATTATAATTAATAATTGCTATTTTTAAAAAAGTGAAACAATCTATAAATTTTATAATTTATTTTTTATGTCATAAAATCACAGATATCATCTTTTTCATGGGAATGTTTTGTTACAAATTCAAATTGTTATTCACGTTAATTGAAAACATGTTTTAAAAACTAACCAGTGAGGACCAATTTTTTTTTACCTCTTATTTTCTTAACTTGACTATAAAATTGATGATAATATTGATACATAAAATCATTTGTTCATTTTTATTTCAAAAGTAAATCATTTATCATTACTGCATTGGTATATTGAGTAAAAAATCTCAACATTCCAATGCTTTAGTCTTATTTTGCAGATATTCCATCATTTAAAAAAATTCAACAACACTCATTACATTTACAGAACAAATGTACTTTTCCATCACTGACCTAAACAAATCAATTCATACAGACTTAGTACCATGTTTTTACAAACTTCAGCCGTTTTGATTTCTAAAATTACCCAAGTATGTCCATTTTACTTACACATCTATTATCAAGATGGTAATGCAACACAGTCTGATAGTTCTCTATTTTCATTGGTCCATTCAAGTCCTAGATGAATAAACAACCAATCAGATGCAGACAATCACAGACTGGTATTAAATTTCCATCAAATAAAATGATGTGTGTCTAATTTAACATACCTTCATGGCATAAATAACAAAAAAAAAATGTGTATTTACAAAATATTCAAAATTAATGTTACATCAAAATCGCATGAATCAGCATTGCTTTAAAAAGATCTAAAAATAGCACAAATTATTGACTAAAATCTAATGTAATTTTTCATCCATTTTGTGCTCGTTTTTCTTTCATTTTGAGGTATGATTCTCTATTCAAAGCAGCCTGCGTCTCCATCTCTTTTCTTGACGCCTTTCTCATCTCATCAATTTTGGATGCATCCATACTTGACACGTCACCACCGCACAGAATCCATGGATGACACAGAACATCAATGGCTGTGTAACGACGCTTCTTGTCCACTACCAAAAGATGCTCTATCAAGTCTTTGGCACCTAGAAATATCAATATAGGTAAAATATAATATTTCAATATGTCTAGAGCAGGACATCTCAATTATCAGTACTACAGTAGTGAAAAAATTAAGATTTTTTCATTCTGTTCCAGGCTTCAAATGAATGGTTCCCCATTGTCTGAAGTTATTACTTTATTTCAATCTCTAAATGAGTGGGGAATCATTGTCTGAAGTTATTACAAGTTGGCTTTAATGTTTAGTGTTGTTCTTGTTGTTGGACTTAAGGTCACAACGATATTGTAAATAGTGACTTTTCAGCTTTTTGAGTGGAAGTAGACCTCAAGTGTCCCTAACATATTATTTCAGGCACATTAGCAGACTATCAGCTTTCATCTATGCTATATCATATAATTTCTGTGAGTTAGGACAATATTCCTGATGGATTTACTGACAGATAATTTTAGGCATAGAAAGGAAGTGTTGCACAATCTCTGCAGAACAAATTTATTTTGAAGACAAAGACTTCTTTTGGGCATAATTGTTATTGTTGTTTTAAAGAGGTTATTACAGTGGAATGTCCATAAGTGAATAAATTTTCTCTATGAACATTTTTTAAATGGCTGTTCCATCCTATACTCCATTATCAAAATGATGCATCATGTACTGGCTGCTTTAGCGCTACTGCTAGGTGCATAGCATTCCACAGACAGTTCTAAGAGAGATCAGTCTGGTGTCAGAATAATAATTATGATAAGTTGTAATATCATGTCAATATATTGACAGCATGACATTTCAATAAACCGGTACTTAAGTCTGGAATTGTGTAAATTTAAGAGCTACAAGAAGACACTTTAGTCTACTGTATGAGTGGATATTTCAGCATGTCGGAAAGTTAGCAAATTTAAAATTCCAGACATTTCATGTGTGGAAATATTAGCAAATCACCAATCTCGGAGTAGCATGGAAACTGAATGGGTGATATTTAAACTAGAGAAAATTTTAAATGATTTTCTTCAATTCGCGATTATTTCCCTGTCGCTAACTTAACCACTTATACAGTATATAAACAAAAGATAAATAAGGGGGGTTCAAAAACTTGCAACATGTTCATATGCAGATGCCGAAACAGACTTCTTAAGTAATAATTTAACCACTGAAACTATCCTGTAAATCAACATAATACATAACGTCAACTTACTTGATGAAATGTTGTCCCAGTACGGACTGAGGAACTCGTATTCTCCAGCTTTAATAAACTCAAACAATTCTGTCTGGTTACGATCTGGACTTCGAAATGGTGGGAAACCACATAACAGAATGTAGCTTATAACGCCCACTGCCCACATATCTACCTCTAATCCGTACCCTGAAATTAGTAGCATAATCTTTGAAAGTTGTATCTTATGATATTGTATAACACACATTTTGTCAAAGAAAAATAATTATAAAATGCATCAAACAAACCCCACCCCCAGAATCTCAAATCCCTTGGGGATGCAAACCGAAAATATCAAGCAATGTTTGACTTATTATATATATTCTCTTAACATCTAAGCTAAACCATGATTGTGTAGAAAGCATAGAGCTTTTTTGTACCATTAACATGTTAGCTTTCTGTAATAAAGCTCTACTGGTACTATATGAGGAATCATAATGATGTGACCTCAGCAGGAATAAAAACACTTCAAATTGATAAGGAGGAGACATCAACACCTCACCTCTAAGAGACTTTGATTGAAGACAAAGTGTAATATTTCTTATTCACCAGTTTTAAAAAGGTTCCTTTTGACTTGTAGCATCACAAATGTGAACTGCCTGAAATTAAGTGACTAAAATACTGTTACACATTCCATAAAATGATTCCTGCAACCCTTTCTTACCTATTTCTGACAAGATTTCTGGGGCTACATAAGTGGGTGTGCCACAAACTGTATAGATCGCCTCCCTCACGTCCATCGCCAGACCAAAATCAGCAAGTTTTAACGATATTGTCATGTCTTTGTTTCTATGCACCTGTTCAAATGAGAAGAAAAAAATATACCACTTTCAATGTACTTCATATAAGAGGTTGTAATTCTTGATATCATCAGACAAACTTCTTCTCAACTTTTTCTGTGTACTTTGTAAAATATGTTCCTCTATTTGTACTAGCTGTTTAAAGTGACATACGAGACATGGGAGGTCAAATGAGGACTTTAAGCTCAACATGTAAAGAATGATTATAAGTGCCAAGTTGGCAATATATTTTTCTTGAAACAGACAGGTACGAAACAATATAAGAAGTCATACAAAGGAAATGAGATTTTTCATATCTTTCTGGATTATATTGTTATAACGGCACAATTTATGGCCGTTCCACTTGATCTATGTCAGTAACATGCGGTTTTGAAATATGAAATTTTCAAGCTTGAGAAAAAAACAACTTAATTGTTTGTAATATCATACATGTTAACTTTTTTCGATGATCAAGTGGGAGATTTTACTTCAAAAAGAGGGAGATTTTAGAATTTGCAATAAACAAAGAAAAAAGTTCTGACATAAGAAAGAGGGAGATTTCTTTAATTTGTGAAAATACCCCTTATTTTAAGAAAAATCTTTGAAAATATGGCTGCAGAAAGTGGCTTTCTCCCGCTAAAAGTGATAGAGTTTACATGTATGCAATATATCAGAAAACTAAATTTGAATGACCAAATAGATATTCAGGTTTTAGAAAAATTTCTATGCAATTAACAAAACAATAAATTGTTTATTCCGAGACAGATGTATATATCAGGTAATTATCTAGTCCTGATTAACCTTTTCTAATACTAAAACAAAGTCTACAAAGCATTTGCCATAAATATATAGTCAGGCCGGCCATAAGATCTGTGCAAATGAACCAAATGTTATACAATTGGCTGTCTAACTTTCCTATTTTCATTGTCACTTTCTTCATATATTAATAAAAACTGAAAATGCACTTTAAAATATATGCTGGAAAACTCGGGTCAGGAAATTCAACAGCTTATTTTGCTAGAACTGAAAGAGATTAGCTTTTGCCTCTAGGAAAGATTCTGGTCTGACCAGCTTGGCCAGAAGAATGACCAGGATCTATACTATTGACAGCTCAATTTTTATATTTTGATAATGAAATCCCTAAACTTGGAATGGAATGTTCCAAATTCTAATCAGGGCAAATCCATTACACAAATTCCGCAGGTTTAGGGCTAAGACTAATTCATTCACTTACCAATAAATTCTCGGGTTTAAGATCCCTGTGTACGATGACTCGCGAGTGTAAATAAAAGAGAGCACTACACAGATCTTTGACCATATGAGCCGCGTCCACCTCCCCGAACTTCACACTCTGTGTTATAGCATCAAACAAGTCACCGCCCTGAAATACATTATAATATTTGTATAAGTAAATATATGACGTGCTGCTAACAATACAATTTGTTTGTAAAAAATAAATATTGTATTGAAAAGAAAGAAAAAGAAGGTAGGGAACTTTAAAGCATACCTAAGAGGTTGATTAAATACCACTTCTAAAAGCTGTTAACAGACTTCTCAAAACTTACTTTTATGTATCCCTGTAACATGTGGAAAATGTTTTCTTATTTCTTATGTGTTTATGATATTAAATTAAATCTGAAAATCATTAAGACTGTCAAAGGAGTTATTGATATTTAGTTTACAGCTGGCATTATTATAGATACTAAGTTCACTCTATTCAAAATATCTAAAATATATCACATTTCAATGAAACTGTTTGAAATTAGAAATATGTCCATAGGACTACGACGCCCCCACATTTTACTACTTTGTCAGTCTACGAATCAACAGCCTGACAGCTGGATGGACGGACAAGAGCAAATCTATATGCCCCACCCTACGCGCTCCAAATTAGTGGGAGCATGAAATCATGATTTTTTAAAAAAAAACACCAAAGTTGCCTTTGTTGGTCACAGGAAGATTTCAATGCAAGTGTATTTACTCAGATGTTAAGTCTAAATTGAATTTGAAGAAAACACAGTCAGGTTTTGTGAAGATCAGTTGCTGTACAAAGTTTGAATAAGACAACTAGAACCCAATATTGCAAGCATAAAGTTTTAAAGTCTATAACGGTACATATCTGCTGTAACAATTAATGTTTGAATGTAAATAATAATACTTCCAAAATACTTCTATGAAATAAATATGTCAAAAGTAAGGACAACCTGTATTGGTGCAATATGAACGGAGGGTATATAATGTCAGCTGTTTAATTTTATTCTATCCCAATCAAAATTCTTGTTACACACAATGGCCTTTTTATGAATTCAACAGAGAAAGGGGTGTAGACAAAATAGGCCCAAAAAAAGAAGATTATTAAAAGTTTCTGTAATCCGAGATTGCTTTATTAAACCTTGTAGAATAAAGATCACTCCAATAAAATTGAGTATCAATAGCTGATCACAGATCAAAGCTGTTCTTTTCCAAAAATAGCCTTAATTAACATATAAGTTTTGTATTTTGTATTTTCTTTCTGAAGAAAAGCTGTGACACTGAGCTGAGACTGAACTTTACTGTGTCTCAATTATTACATCTTATGAAGGCATGACTAAATTATATATATATTGTTCGTTTATTGATAAAAATAGATCAAAAATCCCCACAAAAGTTCATTATTAAATTGGCAATGTACCATGTCTGTTTAGACAAACAATATCAAATGTCTTGTTTGATACGTAGCCATTATATAAACATTGTAAATAATCAGGTAATATTTGTATTTTACATATACCCTGTACAAACAAACCATTAAAATACAAAAGATTATTAAAAATTTTGTATCTTCTATAAGCTCCCGAGTGTTCAAATATGGTAATATCTGTGCATGGTTTGATAATGATTTTGTGACGGACATGTTTTTTTGAAGATTGATTTGAATAAATATTGATATACTTCTTTATATTTGTTATCCTGGTTGTTCACCAACCAATTTTCTTCCATTTGTATTATTTTTTAAATTCCCTGTAACGAGGGCTTTAAATGAAATTTAAGATTTTGCGGAAGAAATTAGACCTGAATGAAAATTGTAATAATCACCAAAAGCTCAGAAATATCAAATAAAAAAAATAATGTTTATTTAAACTGCATGTATGAATATTTTGCATTCTTAAATAAAAAATGCCTTTAATAGATTTTTTTCTTTAAAACCTAGAACTAAAAGGAAGCAATTTCTCTACAAATTTTACGTGGAATGTAAAAATGAATTGAGCAAACTTAATTTTTGCCATTTATTTATAAACTTTCCTTACTGCCAGCTCAATGAATGGATTCCCCCCCCCCCCCCCCCTGCTCTCTCCTATGGAAGTTTCAATTCCCCCATCCCCCGAAAATGTATAAAAACAAATGATATAAAAGGTCATTATTAATGTAACAATGTTTTACAATAAAGTATTCTCTGGGGAACCAGCCAATCTGTGCTGTCCTTAATCAACTTAACATGCCGTGTGAACAAGACAGTCAACATTTAGATGACTGGGAGATATGCTAGTCAATAATTCAAGATTTTCCTATAATCTATAAAGCATGTCTTGAGAATTCAATAAATGTTTAAATAATTTTTACCTCTGACCGGTTGAATCTAATAAATCTTTTTCAGTCACTTATTAAGACAAAACATTATTCGTTATAAAGATTGGTACTGAATAATTACATTTTTATCTGTGACTAAAGATTATGAAATTTAAAGAGCATTGAAGGAAAGGGGTTTAGTTATAAAAAAATATTTATTGACACCTTGGTCACCGAATGTCAATTTAAGTCTAAGCTCTGAATTTTAGTCACTGGCATTTATGCCTTCAAATAAACTGTCATAGCTGGTTTCATGATTTGTTTAAACTTATTTATTAAAAGTCTTTACTTAAGTGTCGCAAAAGTTAAAGTTGTTGGTATCAATAGTGAGTTTGCTCCATAGCCGCATCAGTGCCGTTTTTGTTATGAGAACATGTTCATGACTCTAGTTGGGAAATAAACGTTATCTCTGGGTTGAGAGGCAAATACTTTTTAAAGTAACCTTTATACAGGTTTAACCTAACAGCTTAACTAGAATAAAAAAAACGAGATAATTCTTACCTTGACTAACTCCATGACAAGATATATTTTATCAGCAGTTTCATACTCCTCATACAATTTCACTATGTTTGGATGGGTACAATCCTTCATAATCTCAATCTCATTTTCTACCATATGTTCTTTGCCCTTCAGTTTTGGTTTGTCTATAACTTTCATTGCATATTCAACACCCGTAGCTTTCATTTTTGACATCCTAACTATGGCAAAATTACCATCACCTAATGTTCGTCCTAATTCATATTTAGCCAATACAGGCTCATCACTGCTTATTTGTCTTTCTAATTTAGTTTTCCTCACAATTCTTGGTTTCTTTCTCTCTTTCTTACGCTTTTCTCTTTCAGCTGCCTCCCTGTTTTCCTTTTCTTTATTGTCTATTTTATTTTTCTCATCATCATTTTCTCTTTCAGAATGTTTACCTTTCTCATCATTATCCTTCTCTTTATCATGTTTTTCATGATGTTTGTCATGTTTTTCTTTGTCATGAGGATGTTTGTCTTTATCTTTAACATCTTTTTCTTTTTCATTTTTCTCTTTCTCATGTTTATCCTTTGCTTCCTTTTCTTTAAGATCTTTCTCTTTTTGTTCTTTATCTCGTTGAGCCTTTTTCTCTGCCCTTTCCCTTTCTTTTTCAGCCTTCTCTTTTTCTGCAGCAGCTTGCCTCTCTCTAGCTGCATTTTCAGCATGTTCCCTATCATGCTTTTCCTTCTCTCTTCTTTTTCTTTCTTCTTCTTTCCTTTGTCTCTCATCCTCCTCAACTCTTTGTCTCTCTTCATCTCTCCTTCTTCTGATCTCTTCCTTTTCTTTTTCCTTTTGTTCCTTCATCTTTTTAAATGGATCTTCCACTTGTCCCTTTGGCACTTGTCTCTTCCTTCGGTTTTCCTCCTCTACTGCTCTACGTTCTGAATCAATCATCTTTCGCCTTTGTTTGCTCACTCTATCCTTTTCTTCCTGAGCAGCTTTTTCTTTTTCTCTATCTAATCTCATAGCAATCTCATAGTCCTTTGGATATTCATTTCGTTTACGGCCTCTTTCAGTAGGCCTACCTTTGTACATAACATACTCCTGATCAGGATCTCTATTACTTCCATCACTTCCTTCTCCGAAACCACTATCACGTTTATCAGCATCATTATCTCTTATAGTGTCTTTAGCAGCCTGAGCTTGTCTTCGTTTCTTTTGCCTTTCAAAGTCTTTCATAATATTTTTAGCATATGGACTGCCTGGGTGAATTTCTTCAATAATGTCATGGATATCACTCTCAGTCAATTGTTCATTTGCTGCCAAACCAATAAATACATCATCATCTCGGAAAAAATCACCTACCCCTTGAACTTCACGGCCCCGAGTAGTAAATAGTTTTTTGACTTTTCGTTTGTCTTTTGGCCCAAAGGCTTCAGCAATATCAGCCATAAGGTGCTCAAAAGACTGAACACTTCTGCGATTAAGCAAAATTTTAACATTATTCCTTGGTTTAGAAGGGCCATGTCTTACAACTGTTATTACTTTAGGCCTGACAGGTGCTTGATTTTCAGTATGACCTCCTAGGTAACTGTTCCGGTTTGCCGGACCAAAAGCACCAAGGTATCTTCGATGCTGTAACTGCTGCTGCCCATCCTGAACCCGATTCTGGAAAAACTTGCCCGGGTGGAAGGCATTCCCGTACATACGGGGCCGATACTGTGTGTAGTTCTGCTCTGGGTTGTCATAAGTCTCATGTTGGTGGTGACGGGCTGTAAATAAACAATTAACCATAGTTATAATTCCATCACTGGTAAATTCAAACACAGAACAGATTACTGCATTGAAAGTGTTTTGAACCTCCTCAGCATGTATATGCATCCTATTTGAAACTGGGTTAAAGAGTAACATCTATTTCAAATGAAACAAAGGTATGATATTCTGAATAAAAAAAGTTGTGTAAATGATCATTTTATTAAAGTAAACATTAAAAACAGAATTATGAACAAATGTAAAAATATTTTGACAATAAAAAGAGATATAAAGACATTGAAACCAACAGAAAGTATCATTTTGCTTTTGTGCATACCTATGGACACAAGGAAAATACAATATCATTTAAATTTAAGCACTCAGAATTGAAACTAAAATTTTGATTAAATTCTTTGTTTATAATATCATACACAGTACAACATTACACTAGTATGTACAATCAAGTATTTTTTAAAAGAAACTGAAACACAATAACAAATATTTGATTCTGGAAACTAATGTGCATTATAAAGAAACTGAATCGATAGAATTACATAAATTTCAAACATCAAGCATTCCCTAATCCTTAAAATGCTACAGAAATATCTATAACTTACTGTATTGCACAACTTCAAACATTTTTGTTTCCTTTTACATAAAAAATATATATCCTACTTGTTTATCATAAATTTGTAAAATAATAAATAACAAATTCTATACAGTTAAGGTTAATGAGACAAATAGTTTGGCCATCTGACAATTATCTTTTACAAAAACAATCTTGGGTAAAAACATATTACATGTACCATATTGATTCTAATAAGTGCCCTGAGCCCTAGTTAGCAGTCCCTTAAATAAAGTTAATTTGTTATGAAGTATCATTTAACTTCTGTAACAGTATTTTGCCTCATTTCTTATCATTTACAGAACCAGTAATGATACTGGCAAACTGTTATCTAAAAGGTGTTCCTGGATTCCCAGCACGGATTCCCAGCACTTCGGGTGTCAGCTTTCAGGTCCTTTCAATGCGTCAATGGTTAATACTGTATCAATTCTTCAAATTCATTTGGCAAATATTTATTTTGTGCAGAAAATCATGTCGCCTACAAAAATTGATCATTAAATTTTGTCATTTTCATAAAATGGTAATTAGAACCAATATGGTATTGTGTCATTTTGTTAAAGCACGCTTGTTACGAAGAAAAGAAGTCATTAGTAAAACAAACAAACAGAGATGTTAGGATGAGTACTAAAGATCGGAAATATCTTCATAACGTCTACAACATAGTACAGTGTACCCTGGGATTGGTTACTTTGCACACAAATAGACTATTATCTCAATAGAATATAGTATCGCAATCACATTGTACTTGATTAATTATTGATAAAATAATTGATATTTAATCTGATTCTATACAAAATTTGCACTAAAATTCAAGTATCAGATAAATCGAAGATGATATAATATATATATGACACTATAAATAAACTAACAATTAATATATCTCCACGCCCAGCCATGAAATGGTATATTAGACATCATAACTATCCATACTCCTCCGGGTATTTCAACCGGACTGTCGTGATAAAATTCTTAACCGGAACTTGCGGTTAAATATTCCATATTATGAAATTAACAAATAAATCCAGCACTAGAACAATGTCTTAATCAAGATCTTCGAGACGTTGTGTAATAGAGTACTTAAAAATTCAATTTTTCCGTTATAAATTTTTGATAGCAATGAATTAATCCTTCACAATATTTCACATTAAAGTCTCTTAAGAATATATATCAATTCTACAGGCATTTCAGACACGCCGGGATAAACTATAAAATAAAATCTGTCAAATAATTGACGCGATCGTAACACTCTTATATTAAAACAAAGATGATTTCATCGTGCTAAAAAAGCCGGTATAAAAGAACTCCTTGTTACTTAACAAAGGAATACGGTGTATAATTATTTGTCATAACTAATATACATTGGTGAATCTTTTGTCTTTATTATATTGAAGTCATTTATGAATAAATTAACAACTACCAATCTACGATCTTGCTAACAACGGAACAATACAGATTCTGTTTTGATACTTGGTGCTTTTTACAATGTTGTAAATAAATATAAATACATTATAATGCTATCTGTTTACAATATCTTTATAGCCGATGAAAATGGAAAAAGAAAGAATTGAACAGGCTTAACTGCAGTGTTAAATGCATAATTACCCCATATGAAGAAACAAATTATAGAAGTATTGTTTCAACAATAATTTTTAAATAAATATCTGATTGAGCAACTTTGAAATACAGTAAGTCTTGCTCTTAGTTTACGGACCATTATCTTTATTTCTCATTCCCTTATAGACCAAGTTATAATCATTCAAGATCAGTTTTTTTTTTATTTGATTTTAATGTCATTCAGACACTGTAAAGGTCAAATAGCAACTGTCCAGTGTTTACTGATGAAGGATGACCAAAGGTGTCTCTATACTTGCAGCAAGCACATTTGCATAAGCAGCTTGTATCTAAGGAAATTTCCGCAAAGCTTCTGAAAGCTTTGTTTCTAATTCACAACCTTAAAGTCCTCAGACCTCTCTATCACTTTTGCTGATCATTAAAATTTTGTTAACTAGATGGACAATTTGTACACCTTAAATCTTATAATTTGTCTACTCTGTGGCAATCATAGAAACAGTACAGTCAAACCAGAAGGCACATACATGCAGTCCAACCAGGTTCAATACTGTGGCTGTTTAATTTTAACATTTTGATACTAAACCCCTATTATTACACAAAGGACTGTTCCCAATTCAAAGAAGGATGAGTCCTTTATACAAATTCAGCATAGCTATGATTCAATCAATTTATTACTGCAAATATTACTCTTTTTATTCAACAAAATATATTAGAAGTAGTTAACAGCCAGTTTAAGTACTATATAATTATAAAACACAATCAAATATCTAAACATTAATTATGTGAAACAGAATTTTCTTGGTTAACTATGGAGATTTCAATAGTTCCAAAAAATGTAAAAAAAACTAAAAATACCCAACATTTATAACAAAGTAGAACAGGTTGACACCGTCTTATGCTGGTGACAATTTGGAAAGTCATAAATATACTGTAAAATGTCACTATAGCATTCAATATTTATACAGACATTAATAACATTTACCTGGCAAGAGTCGAGATGCCGCAGAAAGAACTCTGGCTGCCATTTAAACATACCCTTCTTATGATAACGTAATAAATATCTGAATAGGATGTTATTCCATCAAGTCAACAATACACAAAATAGAGACTTCTTTCAATTCTCCTTTACACAATTTTCACCAAAAAAACGTTAAAAGAAAAAGTCTTGAATTTTTCCAAATTAAAAAACGATCAACACATTTTCTTTCCTAAGTTTTCTCCTTCTAAAATCAAAATCTGAGATGATAATCAAGTATTAAACCTAAACCGAAAACTGAAATCCATAATTACAAATTATTCTAACACACAGAAACGCTCTTCCGTATACACGCAACTTCCACTGTTTCAACAACTTATAATCGGAAATGATAAGCATGCTATCTAAACCGTGTAGATAAGATCGGAAAACAATCGGATAATAAAATGTCAATAGTTTATAAACAATAGCAGTAAATCTAAACCTTCAAATAATTGCTGCTCCCGGGTTTACTATGAAATCATCATATATAATTATGAAATATGGACAGATATTGTTTGGTTTTGCGGAACAATGTCGTAACTCAATAAGCTTACAAAAAACAAGTTAACATAATTTTGCAATTAGTCCTTGAATTATTTACTTTAATCATAAATAAATACTATGTATTAAATATTTATTTCACTTCAGTACATTTTAATTAAGTATCATAACATTACAATAAATTGAAAAAGAATTATACCTGCTAAATTACCCTGCAGCGATAATTTTTGTAAGAATATTTAAATAAATATTTAACTAAATAACACTGAACAAGAGCTGTTTTGGAGACATACTTGCTCAGCTAATTTCAGTGCTTTTAAGGACAGAAGCTAATTACCCAGTACATCAAGGGGAACATTTCTCTAAAGAAACACAGCAGCGAAACGGATAATGTAGATTTGTTTTTTTTCCTTTATAGAACATAATACATGTATATTTCCTATACTAGAGTTCATTCAATTATAAAATAGTTAATTGACAATATGAATAATTGAACACTCCTAATCGAAGGTAAAGACAAAGCATTTACAATAGAAACATATGAGACCATTTTCCTGACAAAGTGTGATATATTGCCAGATATCTCGCTCATTTATATATTATAAAAAAGTGGACCTCAGCTTAACTGATTGCTTATATGATGTCACCTATGAAAGATCTATAAATTCTTTTGGTTTAAATGATATCCCTAACAATTTCAGATATCAGGAGGAGTCTAGAAGAACTTCTCATACAGGAATAGAACCGTATATCATGTAGGAGTAGAAGAAACATCATCCAGCTTGTGTAAAAGCAGATATACAACAGAAATAGAAGAGCTCATCATACAGCAAGAGTAAGTAAAACATTTATTCAAAAGAAGTGGAAGCAATTATTATACAAGTCATACAGAAGGAGGAGAAGCATTTAGAGTAGGAGAAGAAGTACATACAGTAAGAGAAGTACTTAGAGAAGGAGTAGAAGTACTTACAGTAAAAGCAATTACAGTAAGAGTAGAAGCACTTAGAGAAGCAGTAGAAGCACTTTTGTAGGAGTAGAAACACAATAGGAGAAGAAGCACTTTTAGTAGGAGTACAAGCAAATACAGCAGGATAAGAAGCATTTACAGTAGGAGTAGAAGCACTTATAATAGAAGTAGAAGCAAATACAGTAGGTGTAGAAGAACTTCCAGTAGGAGTACAAGCAATTACAGTAGGAGAAGAAGCATCTACAGTAGGAGTAGAAGCACTTATAATACAAGTAGAAGCAAATACAGTAGGTGAAGAAGCACTTCCAGTAGGAGTACAAACAATTACAGTAGGAGA